AAGATTGCCCAGCCTTGCTGACAGGCTCTGATAAGCCGCTTTTTCTGTGCCCTCCACCACTGAGGGGATGTCACTATACTGAAATTGGTGCTTTTCTCTGGAGAAGCTGCTTCGTGTCTATGCAACATGACCCAGGCTTCAGTTCCTTTAGTCCCATGGACCTTGATCATTAGACCAGTTTTGTCTCTTTTAACATCTCTAATTGTCATAGTACAGACTTTGCATATTCTTTGGACAGACTTGGTATATTCATATACCTATTAAAAATTTCAGAGTTAACATTTTTCTTCCCAGAGTTTTTTTTTTTTTTTTTTTTTTTGGCATTTTAAGAGACCAGGTCTTGCTTTGTCACTCAGGCAGAGTGCAGTGGTGCATGGTCATACGTAGCTCAGAGCAACCTCGAACTCCTGGGCTCAGCAATCTTCCTGCTTCAGCCTCCCACGTTATCGGGACTACAGGCGCACTGCCACCATGACCAGTTTTTTTTGTTTTTTGTTTTTTGTAGATATAGGGGCTAGCTATTTCTCAGGCTGGTTCTCAGAAATTTTTGTTTTTAAAGACCTCTTCATATTATCTGTTTATTTTATATACACTTACGTGAGGAGTTTTTCATATAGTAATAGCTACAATGACAAAATACATTGACCATCTGGGGAGGCATATTTCTAAAATATCTCCCATCAGAAAAACCAAGCAGGGTTCCTAGAAGTTGTTTCACTTATGCTCACCAATAACCTTATGCTCAGCTGCAACTGTGCAGACTGCTGCTGTCCGGTGGCGACTGTCTCCGCCTCACCTGTGACAGAAAGGGGACTGAGGTCCTTTTGCAGTTTCTAAGCGTGATGATTGGGTTTTCATGCGCAGGCGTGAGACGCGCCGCCCATAAATCTTGCTACGACAGCCGCACATTATCCGTCTGACGTGAAAAAAAAAAAATGTAAAAAAAGAAAGGTGATTGAACTTGGTGATCTCTAATAATACCTACAAATGGGCAGCTCTGCTGTTCCATGAGAAGAGAAAACAAAAGGCAGAAGCAGAAATGCAGGCAGCTGATTAGCACAGAGCGTTACTGGGCTTTCCTTTTATAGCTCCCAGTCCTCTGTTTCATCTAGCTTTCCTTTTGACTTTCCAAAAGATGAAATCCAAGAAACTCTTAAGTTTCACCCTCCAAGGGTACAGTGGGTCAATATCAGTGACATTGAGGACTTCAAAATAATTAAGTTCTAGAAATATCAGGAACAGAGCAGAATTAATTATATATGTCTTTATCAAATTACGGAGCTTGTGAGTGGTTGACAAGGGCATCTTGGCCCATCATCTACCATGAGGTCACCTCGGCTGGACTAACTGGCGTACTCTAGGGGAGCCCGAGCCAGCGGGGCCCTGAGTTTCTTTCAGTCCTCAAACATATTAACACTTGCCATTACTGGGCAAACTGCTTCTAATCACAGAGCACAGGGACTCAGTTCACGAGGGGGAGAATTCTGAGGTCAAAATTGGAGTAAAAAAGGCTTTTTGGTTCTCCCAAGCTTCTGGACTTCATTACAGTAATTGACTTTCCCATTTACAGTTAAATACTTTTATGAAAGGAAGACTTAAAGATCTGGGGAACTGTGTGTCATTGTTAAATAGTCCGTTTTGCTCTGTGACTTCAGAAGGAAGTTCAGAAGAATTAAAATCGTTGTTCTTCCTAACACCCACCATTAACATGCGGGTGCACATGCAGCCCCACATACTATGTCTTTTAATTCGGACTGACACATGTAACACATTTTGACTGTTAATAAAAATGTTAATCATAACAATTTTTTATTACTAAAAGCATATGTAATATACATATTTTTATAAAGTAAAAAATGATGCAACAAAATAATAATTATTCCATCTGACATCCTTGTTACACATAAATTTGTATTACAAATATCTCTGTGTGTCTCTGTCTCTATATCTCTGTTTGTTTTTCTCTTACTAAACACACTCCCTGGGTGATTTCAAAAGAAATAACTCATTTTACAGCTTGTTAGTATCTGCACAAAAATTCTTTTGGTTAGAATTTCTCACTTTTAATGATAATATTAGAATTGTTCCTACCACTGTTCTACTATAATTGAATTTTTTTATTAGTCATCTTTCACCATCTGTTTAATGTCAATGGATTTTTCATTCTTAGACCCTGAATTGAAATGAATTTTTACATATACACAATGGGGACCACCAGTTCCCACTGCAATGATGCTCCCTATCGCCGATATACAATTTCATTTAAGACAAAATAGCAGCACCAGCAGAAAATAAGTGCAGTCTTCTCCTTTGTAAGTTGTAATTGAGGTTATGGCATAGCATATTGCCTGTGGCAGAATCTATTACCAAGAAATGGAGACCATGATTTGATGCTGGCTGCAGTGTAAGCAAAATGAATTAATTATTAGCAGCACAGAATTGAAGGAAAATACAGGGTTTCCTAAAGTGAAATATATTGGCATTTTAAAGAAGAAACCATAGCAAGACACTTATTGATGAATCATTCAGTCGTTTTTTCTCCACTTGCCTTGCCTTTTGGAATTTTTATATGCTTAATTTTAAGACAGCTATTCATAAATTAAGTCACACTTTGCTCAGAATCCATAGAAATATTTCACAGTGTACATATTTTGTTCTTCTCTAATTTGAAGTTCACATGTTTTAACATATGACTTACTGTCACTTTGACAGGTGAGTGGTAAACTAATGATTGGACTAGAATAGCTTCAATATTATTCTTTAATGGAAAAGTAACTTTTTTCTTGATCAACAATAGCTCAAAGAAGGAAAAATGAAACTTTTTTGAGAGTTTATGAACCTTTACAACTTTATTTCATAAATTATGAACTTTAATGTGTATAGCATTGGTGATTATTTAGAAAAATTAAAAATCTTCATAGCAGCAAACTATATGTTTATTTGGATTTCTTTGCTTTGTAGGTGGTTTGCCATTTCATTTAAATTTCATTCAATTTATTAACACTGATTTTTCACTTTTAAATCTTACTATTCAAAAACAAAATACAATTATATTTTGGCAAATTTATTTATTCATTTATTTATACAGAGTCTCACTCTATTATCCCAGGCTAGAGTACCCTGGTGTCACCCTACTTCACAGCAACCTCAAACTCCTAGGTTCATGCAATCTTCCTGCCTCAGCCTCCTCTGTAGCTGGGACCACAGGCACCCACCACGCCTTCCCAGCTAGTTTTTCTATCTTTAGTAGAGACAGGGAGGATCTCATTCTTGCTCAAGCTAGTCTTGAAATCCTGAGCTCAAGCCGTCCTCTTGCCTTGGCTTCCCTAAATGCTAGCATTGATTATGGGCCTGAGCCATCATGCTGGCCTATTTTTATTTTTTTCTAAGAATAGGTAGCTATTTGATTGTTTTTAATTTTTAGATAATGTTTCTACATAATTGAAATGAAATTGTTTGCTTGCATTAAAGTTACTTGCATTCTTTTGGGACGGGATGTTCTATCTCTACCAAATATTTGCCCAGGAGTTATGCACATTGTGTACATTGACTTTTCTTTTCTTTTTTTTTTTTTATTAAATGATAGCTGTATACATTAATGCAAACATGGGGTACAGTGTCGTGTTTTCATATACAATTTGAAATATTTTCATCAAACTGGTTAACATAGACTTTGTGTCATTTACTTAGTTATTGCACATTGACTTTTCTTTAAGGTGTGGAGATTTGAGCAGATGACTTTCTCAGCATCTAGACAAATAGAATTCAGGGTTCAAGGGCACTCCTACAACGTGCCTATGGTAAACTGCAAATATATAGTTTTTCTCCTTTACCAATGTTCAGTAACATAAGTCTGTGGAAAACACTCAAGTGCCAAAGTAAAAAGTCCACATACTGGGAAAGAGGAGACCTCTGGCAAAGCCCCTTATTTCAGAGGCTTTTATCTGAGACTGCTCTCTGAACTGAGGTGGGATCTTCCTCTTGATTCCCACCAGTCATTCGGATCCTCTGAACCTATGACCTCCATGAAAACTGTGTTCTTCGGAACAAGCCAGCAGGAAAGCTGCCTCTGTCACAGTGACCAGTGATTGTGCTGTGGTCGTTCTTCAAACTTCCTTTTCAGTTGCCCTCTAGGGGTTGCCATCTTTGATAGGATCTAACCAAAGAGTGAAGAAGTAAAGGAGGTGGGTGGTGCAGGTGTGTGTGTGTGTGCATGCACATATGTGCCTGTGAGTTCAAGTGTTGACCATGGATAGTGAAGGGTAAATTCTAGTACCTCGACAATAATTTTTACACAAAAAATCTTGGTTCTTAAGTTGATGTCTGGGGAGCTCTGTAGGGTCTTTTGATGAGCTTCAGGGGGTCCAAAGACCCCTTAAAATACTGTAGATGTACAATATACCAGATTCTCAGAGGGAAATTCTACCTCTTGCAGTATTATGGTTGCCTCAAATTTTGGTTGCTGGATATTTTCTGTTTCTTTAAGGGAAACTAAGAGTTTTTCTGCTTACCTTCAGGTAATCTTGGTATGTATGAGTGATGGGTTATACTTTAAAATCCAGGTCTACTGAATTTATAATTAAATTCCTCTTAGGTTTTGGGAATGACTTGTCTATCTGTTATCATTTCAGTTTCACTTACTTTCTTTTATCCTTTTTTTTTTTTTGAGTTTTATATTTAGGACTGGGAAATAATAATTCTATGGGCTATCAACCAGGTGCCACATTAAAAGTAGTCTCTTTCTGTTAAGATTAAATATTGATCACTTGAATGATCATACTTGCTAAAAGGTTTATGCATATTATCCAAACTGTTATAAAAATTTAGTGAAAAGCTCCATATTATAATTTGCCAGAGGTTACACAGCTAGGAAGTAACGGAGCCAGGATTCAAACCTAGGTCTCTGTTTTTAAATGTCATGCTCTTAACCACTGTACTGTGATGCTGGCCATGGTGGATAAAAATACCTTCCAATTTTCACACTTTTTTGTGTCATATATCTTACAAGAGCCTGAACATTTCTTTTTTTCTCTACGGGGGCTTAAGAGAAACAAAAAGTGTACCTTAGCAAATTATTGAAACCCAGTTCACAAAGGTAAGAATTTCAGGGAGAATTTCAGGTTGTCTCCTTGTTAGGTTTTTGTTGATATTCTGATTTGGGGCTACTACTTTCTCTACATGTGACCTCAGACTCAATAATCTGACATCTCTATGCTTTAATTCCTTTGTGTCCAAAGGCCCTAGAGTCATTGTGAGGATTTGATGAGTTTATACAAATAAAAAATTAAAAGCAGTCCCTGGTACATGGTTAGCATTCAACAAAAGAAGCTAGCCATTATTATAGTTATAAAACTCAAACAGAAAGTCTTATTTCCTGAGAGCATCTAGTATATCTTTATATAAATGAAAATGATAATGATTCATTCAGAATGATATTTTATGTCTGAAATTTACTTTTCCCCTCCTTTATTTTTCTACATTCCACAGAGATAGAAAAAAAACAAAGTATTTTCTACTCTCACACATCCTTTAACACAACACTTCTGATACCAGCTACGTGGGGTTTCTCTCCACACACCCACAGTCAGTTCTCTAGTGGACATCAACTGGTTGTCGTATAATTCACTTCCATTCTGACACAGTCTGCCTAGTTAGAGTCAGATCCCACAAGTTAAGGTTTCGGTCTCATGAGACTGCCTTCTACTTCAGATGCCAACTACAAGCCCTAGTTGCGACCTGTACTTCTGATCTACTGGCTAAAAATTAAGGTCACCAGAACCTCCTTCTCCAGTTTGATTAATTTGCTATAGTTGCTCACAAAAGTCAAGGAAATGCTTTACTATCATTTATTCCTTTATTACAAAGACTATTTTAAAGGATACAAATGGACAGCCAGATGGAAGAGATGCACAGAGCAAGGTA